ATTCTAATCGATGTTCGCGTGTTGCATTGATTTACCGATGATTTTTCGGATAATTTATACTCAAATTTTTGATCAAAAATATACTGCCATGGATTGGAATCATAGAGAGAAAATAAAATAAAATTTATGTTAATCAAGATTTGATTTATTATTCAACAGAGAAAAAAAAAGAAATAATATCAGTTTAAGCAGCAGGGCATTGATTTACATCAACTGTTGGAGGTTGTTGGATGATTTCATCTTCATCTTCATAATCTTCTTCATAGTCTTCTTCTTCTTCTTCGTCGTCGTCGTCGTCATAATCCGTATCATAATAATCATTGAAATCGAGACCTAATTCAATGTTTAATTCATCTTCATCGATGTCGACCACGTGTTGTATATTATTTTGTCGAAAAATAATTACCTGATTGTTTTCAGGATCAGGAATTATATCGAGAGCGGCGATTGATGATGATGATGATGATATTGTTGAGTTATTCATTCTTAGTAATGATAGCATTCAAATGAATTCATGCCATTTCTTTCTGAAGATGCTACGAAGAAAATTGAATTTCTCTTTCCCTCTCTCTATTTTTAGCCAATGAACTTATTTTCTTTGTTTTTTTTTGTTGTTGAAAGACTCTGAAGTACAATATCTTCCATAATTATCAAATATTATTTCATTATTTATTATCGGTTTTGTTAACATTGTATCAAGATAATTTATTTGATATGTCGACCATAAGTAAACCTATTTTTTGTTTGTGAAATTTATCATTAAATTGTCGAATTTCCTAGATATCATGTCGGTTAATGTTCTTACTTTAACATCTTTGTAACCTTTTTATCGATTTCAGTTTTAATTATTGTTGTTGGATTTTATTTCTTCTTTATTCATATTAAATTTAGTAGATTTTCTCCATTTTTGAATAAANTATTTTTTGTTTGTGAAATTTATCATTAAATTGTCGAATTTCCTAGATATCATGTCGGCTAATGTTCTTACTTTAACATCTTTGTAACCTTTTTATCGATTTCAGTTTTAATTATTGTTGTAAGATTTTATTTCTTCTTTATTCATATTAAATTTAGTAGATTTTCTCCATTTTTGAATAAATATTAATATTTCTGATATTGCTGCACTTTTTATTATATTCATTGATCATGATGTTGTAATGTGTTGTTCCTAATTTTGTAGATAGCTTGTCTTAATAATTTTTCTATTTTTACTCAAATTTTTGTTGTTATTTTCTATCACAACAAATTTTCGAAATGAAGAAACGATTCTTGGAATATTTTGAAAGAATAACATTTATTTCGATGATCGAGAAGAATTTTATTCTGTTTACTATTAAAAATGAAAAATATCCCATATATTAAATTGGAATTTGTTGTTACTCTTAGATATGTTTTTTCGTCTTTCTTGATCTAATACATCTACTGAACTATAGTATTCCTTCATAGTGTCTTTTTTAATGTATGCATATATATATATTATGTTTTTACATAGTTCATTTACTTATCGTGTTGTTATTGAAAATCGTTAAATGTGTAATAATAAATAATATCATATCAAAGCATGGGAAATTTTTAAAAGATTAAATGTTTTATTTATACATCAGAACAATATATAATTATTGTGTGCAATACTTTAATACAATCACTTTAAAACAAATCTTTTTTTTTTTGTTTTTGGCGTATTATAGATGTTTTTTCGATAGATTGAAATTATCAAGACGTTCTATTTTGACTCACCCAGAAAAGTTTTCATATATATGTATATATGAATCAATTCATTTAGAAACATTTTTAGTTTCATTTCAGTTACATAGTGATATTAAATGAACAACGATCAGATATATTCAATTTCCAAATAATTTGTCTTCTATACATGTCAATCGCATTTATGAAGACCATTTATATTGTAAACATGAAAATAAAATTTGATTCTTAAATTCATTGGGAAATAATCCGATCAATATATCGTTAATGAATTCAGTCTGTTTAAGTTTTTAAAAATTCAAAAATTTCTTCTAGAATTCAATAGAAGAAATTAGTTAACGTCTACTATCGTAAATGATTTGGGTGTGGGTGTGGGTGTGAAGAATAACCACAATAAAATTGGTTTATTTTAAATTTTATTTCAATTCTATAAATAGAATCATTATCAAGTGACAATAGATATTTATTCTGATCCCAAGATCAATAAATTTAATATTTATGTAGGAGAAAAATTGAATTACATGATATTGTTTTTTTTTAGTCTTTATTACAGATGATAATGATAGAAAAACGATTGAAGTTATTGAAGAGTTTATTGATGTTGTTATAAGAAGGGTTCAGCTTTTAATGTTTCGTGTATCATTTTGTATTTTTGTCAGCAATACTTGATTATTTTTTTATTTCTTTTTGGATGTGGACTATTTGGACAGGGTATATGAAGTCGACGATAGTGTATAAAGCTTTTATCGAATAATCCATTATTGAATTGACGTAGTATTTCAATTCCATTTTCACCAGCTAATAAAAATAATTCAGTTACATATTTCCAAAATTGACTAATATTAGTTAAATGATCAGAGATAAGCGTTTGTTCAAATTTGGATACGTCATTATAGTTAATTTGATCGATATTTATACCAGTTAAATATAAAAGATTTGCAGCAAGTGATCGTTCATAAGGCCATTGGTTTATTCGATTTTTTTTACATCTTCTGCATTGACATGTGTTATCATCCGTACTAAAAGAAATCACAAATAATAAAAATTTGAAAGTTAATATCAAGAATTTATTACCAATATCTAATTCCTTGAAATAGTATTTATTTTGCCATTTTTGTCATATGGATGCAACATCCAAAACTGGTATTCTTGTGTAGTTGGATAGATACCAAGATAATCCTCACGTTTATTGTTCTTTAACATTATTTTGTTTATAATTTGATCAATGTATATGAATTTAAAGAAATATCTTATAGAATAAAATCTAAAATAGAAAATATTATAGTTTGTTGATTAGTGTCTGCTAGATTTTTGAATAATATATCAGAATAGATATAAAAAGATGAAAAATTCTTTAAATCGAAGATTTCATTTCATTATCACCAAGTAATTGATTGGTATAGAAGCATATATGATAAGATAATTCATGAATTTAACCAAAGTGGAATTTTTTAGTGTATTATCTATATAAAATAAAGTATAAGATGTTGCTTGTATTTGAAATAAATTGATCATTACCTTTAGAAAGTTAATAGATTTATAAAGATGATTTTTGTATGAAAAAGTAATTGTAGTTGATCATATCAAATTGATGTGGAGAACATACCAAAACAGAAGAGATTATATATATTAAATGAAAATATCTAGAATTAAACATCAAATATTATAGCTTGCTAATCAGTAAATAGCTAGTAAATGAAAACATGAATGAGAAAAGAAAACACAATTAGAACATTACAATAAGATAAGACAAAGAAAAAAATTGAATGTCTTTTATTCGAATAATAAATTGTGGCTACTCGAAAATCTTATGTTTTGTTTTTGTCTAAAAATA